GCAACCAACAAAATTAATATGAATTATGCTTAATGACAGAAGATCCCCCCCAGTCTTAAATACTTTATTTAAACACATCTTGTTTCTCTAAAATTGCCTCTTTTATTATAAGAGCCAGCCAAACAACGTTGCTGTTTTTGTTCTCGTACAAAACATAAAATAAAAATTAAAAAAGCTCAGATCTTTTTCTGCAGTTTTGGCAGAACTTCGGCTGATGAGCTCTGGTAGAAAAAGATACCAGGTTGAGGTTAGGTTCAGGTTAAGTGTGATGATGGAAATCTGCTAGAAGTCATTCTTTCCTTGCTGTGTTGCTTGCTTGACTGTTTTCTGTGTTAGCATTTAGCAAAATAATAATTCTATTATTGCTCGCATGACCGCTTGTGTCTGACTGCAAACACTTTGCTCTGACATGCTGTTGAACTAAAGGCCCAAACTATATTTTGCTCCGTTACATCTTTAAGTCGATAAACTGTGGTTGGGGATCGAATGACTGGAGGGCTTTCCTTGAAATGGAAACGTTGAACTCACATGGCTTTTCTGAACACCACCAAGCTTCTGATGGGAGGCTTTCTCTGGAATGAAGACACTGACTAAATGAGCAGCCTCACATGCCTTACTGAAACTGAATGTTTCAGAAATCTTGTAAGCCAAAGCTCTCTCTAAGTTAAAATATTAAATGTGTTTGCACAGTCTGTGTTTTTTTCCTCATAGCTCAACTGACTGATGTACTGTGGTGGTGGTGGAGGCAGCTCTCTGCAAATCTCTCAAGGAGTAGTCGAGAGCCAGAGACGAGCAGAGAAAAGCCAGAGAGACAGAAGACAAGAGTGCAGGAAAAAAAAAAAAGAGGGGAGCCTGGTCAGGTTAGAGGAGGAGAGGATGGGGCCACAGTTAATGCAGCATAATCAGCCGGCGCTGCTTGGTTACCTTCCAAACAAAGCTGCTGATTTGTGGACGCAAAAGAAGAGGAGGGGAAAAGAAAGAGAGACAGCGAGACAAGAGAGGATGGAAAGAGATGAGAGGAGTGATTGCACAACGCCACACACACACACTTGAAGCTCAGTCTCCCTTGGAGACAGTGGTAATACTGGATTGGGACATCTCAGTGCAACTGTGGAGTCTCCACTTGGCTGAACTTCCACTGAGCTGTGACACCATCCAGACAGAGGGAGGGCACCAGTGAGACAGAGGGGAGCAGAAAGTCTGGAGCGAAGTGCTGCGATGAGGAGCTGAGCTACAGCGAGAGAGGGACTATCGAGAGCAAGAAGGAGAAGAAGAAGGAGAAGCGGGGGGGTGAGGAGTCTGAGGATGCGCTACAGCAGGAGGCGCAGCTGAGAGTGCAGCTGAAGCAGCCTGGGCTCACATCAACAAGCATACACTTTCCATAGGAGGACAGTGTGTGTGTGTGTGTCCAGAGTATGAAGAAGCATTCAGCACGAGTGGCTCCCCTCAGCTCATACAGCACTCAGGTCCTGACCTGCCCCAACTCTGAAGGTAACAACCAGAGAGACCTTACACCATTTAGATGTTGCACTCTGAGTATTGCTAGAACTACGTCAGGTGGGCTGATGAAAGCTACAAACTTTATTAATGGGATCCCATGGTTTGGAATAAGACATCACATGCACAGCATGCCAAGTGTGCACTGCATTTATTTGGAATCAAGCTACGGTAACTAAAAAATACACATGGCTGTATTTATTGTGCATTTGCATTTATGCTTAAAAAGCTAAATATGGCTGCATGGTGGTACAAGTTTTGGCTGAAATGTGAACAAAAAGGTAAAGTCACCTGTTTTTCAATAGTCTCACAGAACTCTACCTCACCTTCAACTTTTGTAGCGATAAGAGAACTCTTATCAACTTTCCACCATCGTCACATCCACGGCACAGCTTTCAACCTAATTTGGATAAAGACTCAAAGCATGTGAGCCGTAGTGCGAGCGACTAATGCTGCAGACATTACTGTGAGCTTCTTATTGGATTCAGCGGGGCATCATCAATCAGTGCTGCTGGCGTGCGGCGTTAGCGGTGGGGATAAGACGCCGAGTGGATTGAAATGTGAGTTTCCAGCAGCCTGCTGTGCCACGCAGATTTGATAAACCCTTTAAACAAGAGCAAGCGAATGATCATAGGCAAACAGAGTTGACACAACCAAATTTTTAATTTTCTATCTTATGGACAACTTAAGTTTTATTTTATTTATTTATTTTTACTTGTTCTAGTTGTTTTTGTCTTTGTGCAAAATCAAGATTTTAGGTTTTTGAAAACTGGAAATAGTCTAAAAAGTTTGGTATTTACTCATAACTTTATGTAATTATGTTTTAAAAATGGAATTTATTGTACTTTTAAAGGCCAAAGAAAACAAATCTAACCAAAGTATAGTTTTGTTCATGAGAGAATGCTGAGTTTTAAAAATGTTTGTGTTTTACCTCAACAGAAAAGCCTGAATCCACTTCTGAAATATTGCACTGTAAAAAGAAATGATCATGTTGGGTTAAACCCCCCCCCACTAAAATAGACATACAGCAAAATGTTAAAAGAGGCCCTCCTGCAGAAACATCAGTTTTAGCTAGCATGCTAATTAAGCTTAATGTAATTAGATCAAACCCCTGAATCATCTTGCAGAAACTCAACTGCATTTGTGTTTAAATGTTCTGTTTTCACCACATATTGCGGTGAAACTAAACCTGAGTTTCAGAGTTTTCTGAAAGCACAATTACTGGCTGAACTAGACATGAGAAAAAAAAAATCTATCAATGGAAACTAATTTACATTTTGCATTTTTTTGTATAACTCTGCTATAAAAAAAATCAGTTGTAGAGTTTTGACAGACCACAATGTGCAAGTTTGAGGCTTACAATTTTTTTTGTTTGTTTCATCTTTGCACAAACTCTGTTTCTTTCCAGTACTTTTTACACCAACATGATTATTTGAAAGATATAAACACTTTTCAGATGTTGTCATTGTTCAAATGTCTTCATTTATTCCATAAAGGAGTGATTAAAAACGTGTTTCCTTTGTGCTATTCTCATCTCAGGGTGTCATTTAAAACTGTAAACAATCTTTAGCAAGGCATAATTAAAACCATTTATTTACAGCACAACAATATTATGATATGACATTTTAGTTTCAAAACTACTTCCTGCAATTTTGCTTGTTTATATTTGTATGGAATTATATTTTTTCCTTTCTGGAAAAGCATCTGAGTACTTTGTCCACAAATCCATCTGTGACTTTAAAACCCCATGTATTGATTGTGTTATTTTGTGCCAGCAAAGATCCAATGAATTCATTGAAGCTATAGCAAGTTTGGCAAGATTTCAGGGGACTTTATAAAATAGGCTTCTCACTTGAGATGAATGATTTGATGGCATTGCATAAAGCAGAGTAAACTGGGTAAAATAAATGGTTTACAAAATTTCTGCAAAGTTGTTCCTAAATTTTCTGTCTAACATACACCGTTACATGTTTCTTTAGATGACAAAAGGCTTGTAACCATGACATACTTTCATGCCACATGTTCCATTACTGAACGTTTTGCTCAGGTCTCTGTAGATTAAAGTATTTACAGTGATTGCAATGATGAGAATCTGAGATATTCCACAAGTGAGAGGAAGTACAGGTTTCAGTGTCTGCAGACCAGTAGTGGAAATGGTAGAACGTCGTGAGCTGAGCTTGCAAAGAAAGAGCAGGCAGCAAGCCGTGAGCGCGACATCGTTTATTCCTGCTCTGGTGTAAATTGATCAGATGTTTAAAAAAAAAAAAAAAAAAACTCAGAGCCAAAAGCTGAATTTTCTTCGGAAATGCTTGTAGACACAGCACTTCGAGTTTTCCACAACAGGGCCAGAAACTGCTCACTCCGTCAATCAATTTGGGCTGAAGGCCAGATCTGCATCTCGGATGCAAGATTAAAGTAATGCCTCCATTTGTTTATCAGTCTATGAGTGAGCAGCGAGGCTGGTGTGACTTTCTTGTGGAATGTCATGTGGTTAGATTTACCCAAGTTTGTTGACATCAAGTTTCTGACTACGATGAGTGGACGTGCTACATCACCAGGCGGCTCAGCCATTTCTGACAAAATGAATACATTTTGAACATTCCTCATCCATGATGGGGCTACAGTAAGGCATACAAACTGGGGTGATCTCGAACTGGTCAATCTCCTTCTTTTGGCTTTTCCCTCTTCAGGAGACTCCACAGTGAGTCACCCTCCTCCATCTCACTCTATCCTCTGCATCCTCTGTCCTCACTCCAACTACCTCCATGTCCTCTCTAACTGCATCCGGATATCTCGTCTTTGTCTTTTTCCTGGCAGCTGCATTTCTAACATCCTTCTACCAATATACCCACTGTCCCTCCTCTGGACATGTCCAAACCATCTCTGTCTGGCCTCTCTAACTTTATCTCCCAGTTGTTCAACCTGTGCTGTACCTCTGATGATCTCATTCCTGATCTTATCCATCCTTGTCACTCCTAAGGAGAACCTCAACATCTTCATTTCTTCTACTTCCAGTTCTTTCTCCTGTCTTTTTGCCAGTACCACTGTCTTAAGACCATACAACATAGCTGGTCCCACTACTCTCTTCCTTGTAACCTCACTGTTCCACCGGCCTCCCTCTCATTCACACACATGTACTTTCTTACTACGTCTGACGTTCATTCCTCTTCTTTCAAGTGCATACCTCCACCTCTCCAAGTTCTCTTCCACCTGTTCCCTGTTCTCACCACAGATCACAATATCATCAGCAAACATCATAGTCCACAGGGATTCCTGCCTGACCTCATCTGTTAGTCTGTCCATCTCCAGAACAAACAGAAAGGGGCTCAGAACCGATCCTAGATGCAAGTGATCTGTGTGATCAATAAATGTCAGATGTGGGATTTGATTTGACGGGATTCCACACAGGATGTTTTATCATGGGCAGTGATAGTTTAAAGACAGAAAAACTTAATACATTCTGCTTTCGTTGATTTACTTATTGTTTCCTCTTACTTCTTCAGGAGAGGATGGTTCAGAGTCTCGTGCAGAGACGCCAGGCAGTGAGACCAGCAGCGAGAGTCAATCCTTACAGACTTGCACCAACATGGCTCTAAAGGTGCTGGGTGGTCTTCTGATGGTGCTGTGCATTTCCTCCTCCTGGGTGGGTACCACTCAGGCGGTGAAGCTGACCTTCCAGTCATTTTCCTGTCCCTTCTTCATCTCCTGGTTCAGCAGTAACTGGAACATCCTCTTCTTCCCCATCTACTACTCAACGCATGTTTTTACCACACGGGAGAAGCAGACCCCCATACAGAAATTCAGGTAAACCTAAAAAAAAAACTTTCAGTTTAAAGCGGTAGAGTGGAATCTGTCCAGTTGGACGCATATTACAGTAAATGTTTGTCTAACAGGGAGTGCAGCAAACTCTTTGGGGAGGACGGGATGACTCTCAAGCTTTTCGTAAAAAGGACAGCACCCTTCTCAATCCTGTGGACACTGACCAACTACCTGTATCTCTTAGCCTTGAAGAAACTGACCGCCACTGATGTCTCTGCCCTCTACTGCTGCCACAAAGCCTTTGTCTTTCTCCTGTCGTGGATCGTCCTCAAAGATCGCTTCATGGGTGTTCGGGTTTGTAGGGGATAGAAATAACCGTTTGCGATAAATTAACGTATGTGTGTCTGTTAGCTCTGATTGCTCTGAATCTTTTCCACCAGATCGTTGCAGCCATCATGGCCATCACAGGTATCGTCATGATGGCCTACGCTGATGGTTTCCATGGTGATTCTTTTGTGGGTGTGGCACTGGCTGTGGGCTCCGCCTCTACTTCAGCTCTTTACAAGGTCAGACAGCCGAAGAAACATCGGGCTGAACTTTTATGGCTGTTTTTACTGAGAAAGAACGTTTGCTATGAGTTTCTTGTTTTATCACCTGCTAGGTGCTGTTCAAGATGTTCCTTGGCAGCGCCAACCTGGGAGAAGTAGCTCATTTTCTGTCCACAATGGGCTTCTTCAACCTTGTCTTCATCTCCTGTGTGCCCCTCATCCTCAACTTCACCAAAGTAGAGCACCTGGGGCCCCTGTCGTCAATGCCCTGGGGCTATCTGTGCGGACTGGCAGGACTGTGGCTGGGTGAGAATGCATATTCATCGTAATTATGATATTTCTTAAATGAGGATGACTCCGCTTCTATCGCATCAAATTTTAGATCAATATCTGTAAAAATTGACTGAGTTATGTCCATTTTTGTGTTGCTAATGTTGGCTATGTCAGCCATCTTGAATTGGATTGCCCCCCAAAATTACCAAGTTTTAGATTTACATATATTGAATATTTTCTGAAAGTTTCATTTATATCAATCCTGTGGTTCATCAAATATTTTGCTAACAGACAAACATCTTTCACTCCAACGGTTATTGCTAAAGTTTTAAACAAATATATCACTCAATGAGAAGCACTTTAAGTAAGTGTTGCAAATAATTCTCAGGTAAGACAAACACCACGTTTTAGCTCGATATCTGTAAAATTGACTGCGTATTAGCCATTTGTGTGTTTCCTAAGTTTAGTGGGCTGTGGTAGCCATTTTGAATTAGGTTGTCTCTAAAAGTTAATCAGTTGTAGACATTTATCCAATGGTTATTTCCTGAAAGTTTAACTTAAATGTATCCAGTGGTTCATGAGATGTTCAGCTAACAGACAGAGTTGAATCCTATTAGATAAAATTACTAAACTTTAAACACTGATCTTGGCCAATCTTTTAGCACTCAGAATATGCGTTGAGGATCAGTCTCAGCTACCACCAAACCAAATGTAAGGCTAATATTTGAGTTATTGCCTTTTTTTTTTTTTTTAGCTGTTTGCTCTGGTAGCCAGTCTGAATTGACGTTACTTTAACATGTATTAAATTATAAATGTGCATCTATCTGTGCAACATGTCAAGGAAAGCCCCAAAAACAACTTATTGGTTTGACCACCTTATTATTTTTAAATATAAACTCATTCTTGCTCCTCAACCTTCTTATGTTTTACAGTGTTTAACATCCTGGTCCATGTGGGAGTGGTGCTGACTTACCCCATCCTCATTTCTATAGGGACACTGCTCAGTGTGCCAGGGAATGCAGGTAGTTTGTTTATTTTTTTTAACTTACCTCTGCGTCAATTAGCATCCTTTAATTAGACTTTATTGTTATGAAACAGCATCAAATGGCCACACAGATTGGAGTGTTTGTATTGTTGGGTCAGCACTTAGGGTAACTAAAGCAAAGCGATTACACAGCAAGTCTGCCTCTCTCGTCCTGGAAATCCAATCATCTGTGGGCTGCAACAGACCCTGCAACTTTTATCCCACTAAGGGAGGATCAGGTTGCCACGGCGACAGTAAATGCCTGCAAAGTTCTTTCCTTTAGGCTGGAGTGTAAGGTCAGTGGGTTACAACACGTCCTAGAGCTTCTGACCACAGAGACAGTGAGGATAAAGTGCTGATTATAAGCTGCTCCTTAGCTGCAGCATCCTGAGGTTTATGGCACTTTATATAATTAATCCTAATGTTTGTGTCTCTTCTTGGCGCTGCGTAGCCGTGGATGTGCTGAAACACGAGGTGATCTTCAGCGTGGTGCGGCTGGCGGCCACTTGCATCATCTGCCTGGGGTTCCTGCTCCTGCTGCTGCCGGAGGAGTGGGACTCGGTCACGCTGCAGTTCCTCGCCAACATTGCGGACAAGAAGCCAGAGGAGCATGGAGAAGAACTGACCGAGTCCAGCGGCAACACCCGAAGCCGCAGTCGAGCAAATGGCACTGCCTCCATTCCCTTAGGGTGACACGACCGACTCCTTCCATAAACCACCGTCGGCACATCTTCAAACTCTGTTGACTTCCTTCCTGAAGGTGCAGCAGGATGCTCAGCTCACATGGACGCCGAAAATCAGGGAGACAGGAAGCACCGACTTGAAATGTACTTTTGACCTCTGTCACTTCACAACAGGAGGAGGAAATGAGAACACTTTCATCTGATGTCCCGCACGCACAAAAACAAGAGCTGACTGGCTTCTCCCGACATCTGTGGACTGTATTCTGTGAATATAAATGATAGCAGAGCCAGTATGGCTCGGTTTATTTATATTATTCAATAAGATTTTAAATTTTATGTTTTACTGAAGTGTATTGCTGACAAAAATGATAGCTATGCTTGATGTACATGCTGTTTTGGTTTTTATAATAAAAGACAAAGAAACCTTCACATCATGTAGTCAAAGGAAGACTGTATGTGGCCAAAACTAACATTTTGTAGTATTTGTGTTAGAAATATCTAAACTATATCTAAAGAAGATACCGAGAAGGCTTAAAGTATATATATATATATATATATATATATATATATAATGAC